TGGGCTGGCAGGGGGCTGCGGGTCGGGAGTGAGGGGCACCGGCTGGGCTGGGCGTCTCTCCCGCGTGCATGTGACAGGCTGCGGCCAGTTTCCCAGGCTGGGATGAGCCGCCTGTGGTTCCCCCACAGCCCCCAGCCAGGCGAAACCAGCTCCGGATCAGTCATAGTCACTTCCCTTGTGTCATCCCCCTCCGCCCCCCCAGCTGAGCTTCAGCCCCAGACACACCCAGGCAGGGCTCAGCAAGTGGGGGGATCTGTGGAGCAGTTGCAATACAAGGTATGTTAGGGACTTGTGCACCTAGAGGGGACAGGCCCCTGCCCCATTCCCCGCTCCCCTGAGCCAGCCAGTCCCTGCCCTGGGGCCGGATGGGAGCCAGCGCCCCCTAGAGGGGACAGACCCCTGCCCCATTCCCTGTTCCCCGATGCCTATGGCTGAAGGATCTCTAGGATCTGCCCCCCACTTCATTGCATGGACAGACAGGGCCTCATTTTCCATCCCCCCTGGGCCAATGTGGCCTTGGACACTCACCCTCACCTCACCTTAACTCTGCCCATCACGCACAGCTCCCTGCGGCCCCGCTCCCGGTGGGAGAGACTCCGAGGGACTCCGCCCAGCTCTGCTGTGACTTCCGGGGCTCGGCGTCATCCTCCCAGTGCAGGACAAGCGCCGTTTCTTCTCCAGCAGACCCCCGCACCCGTAGGTCGGTGTTGGGAACGATGCGGCCATGGCTGATCGGCCGCTTCCTGGGACAAAATCCAGGGCAGCGAGCTGGTCTCTCTCCCCAACAGCCCTAACCTTTGAGCTGGAGGAGCGACTCCATTAGCTGGCAGCAGTAGAAGGCAATTACCCTGCTCTGAGCAGTCCCCTCAGCATCTACTGACTCTTCATCTGTCTCCACCAAGAGCCCAGCCCTCTAAACCAACAGTTAGTGGAGTCACGCTGTTAAGCAGCAGCAGTAGAAGGTTAGCATCCGGCCTCAAACAGCCCCACTCCTTCCTCTTCGACTATTTGTAGACCCAGCTCCTTCCCGCCCCATCCGCATGAAGCTGCAATGCGTTCTGGGTTCTGGAACGTGGCGTTCTACAGCGCCCACTGTTCTAGAGCATGCATGCTCTTCCCTAAACCCAGGGAATGGGTCGGGTTAAGGAGAAATAATGGAATTTCCCAGAAAGCACAATGGGGCCCTGGGGGGAAAAAAAGGCTTCTCCATTCTAGAACATCGGATGTCTGAAGGCTCTGAGTTCTAGAGCAATATTTCTCAATCTTTTTAATATCAGGGACCTGCTTGCTGCCTTCCTAAATGGTGTCAGGGAGATCTCAGGGAGCATGGACTGGTCAGTGAGAAACGCTATTCTAGAGTTCCCGGGGGAGATGAACATAATGTGTTCTAGACCTCCAGGAACAGAACATTCCGATTTCTTGAGTGACTGGGCTAAATATGATCTGTTCTAGTGCACAGCTGACCAAAGGGCCGGGATTCTAGAGTGTCTAGAGCTGGGGTATGTGGAATTTTTGGCTCCAGAACTCATTGCCCCAAGGTGCATGGCTTCTAGAGCTCTAGGATGCACATTCTGGGTTCTAGAGTGACTATCCTCTAGATCCCACTCCACTCCTAGAGCCAGGATAGAACCCAGGAATCCTGGATGTGGAATCCAGAAAACGCTGGTTGTTCTAGAGGGTGCGGCTTGGAGAGTCCGAGTTCTAGAGCACCACATTTTCTGGAAAAAATGCTTTCTGAATTCTCGAACGTTGTGTTTTGATGTCTGAGAAGGGCAGGGATCCACCGAGAAGCACTGAATTCCAGAACCCAAAGATCCCTGCCGCCTCCACACCCAGGACACTGGAGAGATGAAGGTTCTGGATTCCAGAACCCTAGATTTCCCGGAGGAGTCAGAGCTCTAGACTGCCCCAGTCCAGAAATGCCCCATGAACCCCGGAGCCCGTTTTGGTTTCCCTGCATTCTAGGAAACATAATGCTCTAACGGCAACATGGCAGGTCCACCCCAGCCACAGTCAGACCACTCAGAAACTCTGCCAGCTGCCCAAAGGCACCAGGGGTTCTGGGCTGTAGAACAGAAGTGTTCTGGATCCTCCTGCATCCCAGAAAGGCCCGTTTCCTGGTGTTCCTAGAGCTCTGTAGTGGTTCCTCACTCTCGAGGGAGGGAGGCCACTTCACCTCACTACAGGCAGACAGCAAACAACAGTCGGCGCACAGTCTATGGCTCCACAGCCGCCTGGCTGGGGGTGAGCCCACAAAACAGCCCAGGCCTTCTGGACACAAAGAGGGGGTTTAGCCGTGACCCCAGGGTTGAGGTCGGGGTGGGGGGTAGAGGGACCCGGGC